TTTTTTGCAAACCATAATTGTAACTTTGTGATGTTGCGTATAAATTTTTTCATCAGATGTCAGCTTCTCAAGCAGATATATTTGCAATTTGAGTAGCAATTTTGTCAACGACTTTAATTCGAGAAATTACATAGTTGAGGTTCTAATTTTAGCAGCTTTAGAATAGTTTCACGGTGGTATTTGTTTTCAGACAAAACAGGGTCGTTGGTGTGCAATGCACGTTAAAATCGCTTATGAAATATCGGCGAAAAAGGAACGACGCGGTACACCGACCGCAGCACCAATCAGCTCGGCCACAGCCTCATCGTCAACCCAAAATGCTGCCGCAAACAGCTATCGCAATTCTGCTTCTGCGATTGCGCCGCCATTATGTCCTCCCTCCACATCGAATGCAGCACACCTTGCTGGGTAATCAATTATCCAACTGAACTTATCGTTTGATTCTTTTAGAATTTGTTCGTGTAGTGATCAAATTTTATTTTGACTACCTTAGAGGATTCGTTCACCTGTTGATTCATCTGATTTTTGATGAATGCATCTCAGCATGGTGGGATGACATTTATATCGGAATTGCTATCGCCATATTGGTTCTCCGCAAAGAACCGGCATTAATTGACTGAGAACTTTTATCCAACTCGATAACAAAATCACTGCCTTCATTAATATCGAACGATTTTCAGGCTAACAAGTGGCTTCTCGAACGCTTTTTCGGCCATGGCTGCCGCAGGTGCGGGGCAACCAACGTACGGTTCACTTCAATTCCAGCAAATGACTGATCCGAGTAAACTTGTCCGACAAACGTGAGTTTTTCGTGCATCCGTCTGTTCGGTTTTCAAATATTCTTCAGTTCGGAACAAATACTTCTGATAATCCTCTGATAAGCCAGATGTGTATCTACGAACCGCTCTCATATTCATTGTCTCCATATGCGTATAATACCGTGATTACGCGCATTTCTTCTCTAAACATTTGCACCACAACATTGAAGTAACTTTGTGTATGTTTAGTATCTGGGACAATTGTAGGGCAACGCCGAAAGGTCCACAAGGTCGGCCTGCATCAGCGATGCAACGAGGCGGGGGTTCGACGGGCACAGCGCCTGGTGGTCTGCATCTGCCGCTAAGTGCAACAGCCGGAATGGGCGCCAATACGGTGGTCTCATTGGGCGGTGCGTCGATGCCGCTTGGTGCCCTTCAAAGTGCCCTCCCAAATATGATGGGTGGTTCACTGTCGCTACCGGGTGGACTGCCCGTCTCCGTCTCAGGATCGCTGACGAACGGTACAAGCGATGCTGCCGCACAAGCGGCAATGTTCGCTGCACTCGCACAAAATTCGCAACAAAACGCGGCACTCTCATCGAGTCCTTTCCTGCTCTCGGCTGTCTCGCAGCAACAGCAACAACATCCACTCTCGTCCACATCAGTTGTTACCGCCAACGGAACACAATCCCAGTCATCACAATCTGTTTTTCCAACGCAACGATTATTCGATCCGGCCATGACAGCCGCAGTCTTACAGCAAATGCAATCGGTATACAATGTTTGTTTTATTTCAGTAAAATTTATCTTTTTCTTCCACATAGTTGATTGCGTCGTCACAAATCGTATTTCCGTTTACCACTGAAGATGTCTGCGTTTTGATAAAAATTCGCCGAGAAATCCATTTGAAGAAAGATAATTTTGAACGGACTAAAACAATGACTAATAACTGCGCAATATACAGATGGAAGCGATGCGTCAGTCGGCCGCAGCTGCTCAGATGAATGCCGCAGCAGTGGCGGCAGCGGCAAATGCGAACTCGCATGGTGGATCGGCGAGTGGTGGGGCTGGCGGTGGTGCCACAAATGCAACGACCTATGAATTGATGCGTATGCAACAGCAGATGATGGAGCAGCAGCAGATGATGGAACGATATGCGGCAGCGATGAATGCCGCCGCCGCTTCGAACGGCGCGGCCTCAGGATGCGGTGCTGGCTCAGCGCAGTCGGCGAGTCACTCGTTGGATCTGATGAAACAACAGTTGTTCGCGTCGCAGTTCAGACAGCAGCAGCAGTCCGCATCGTCGAACAGCAGCGCCTCGTCACAGCAGCAACAGCAACCCTCCATCGAGCAGCTCATCGAACTGCAACGTCAGCAACAACAACAACAGTTGCTCAGTGCTTCTCGAGCTGCCGCAGCCGCCGCCGGACTTCCGAGTGGTTACACTCTGTCGGCTGGTTCCGCAACGGCACCTGGAATGCCGTCTGCCGCTGGTTTACCTCAAGGTCTCTCCGCAAGTGGTCTCTTCAACGCGTCACATCTGATGTCAATGGGCGGTGCGGCCGCAGCAGCTGCTGCTAATTTGCAACAATCTTTATACGGCAAAAATCCCTACTCAAATACTCTCGAACAATTGGCTAGACAGAAACGAGACGGCGATATGATGCAACCGGGAAGGTGACATCCATAGGTAGTAGTATTCTTATCTTATATAAATGATCATAATAATAAGTGATAATAACATTATTTATATATAAGTGATTCAAAATATCGCTATCAACTATTGAAGTAAGTCATTTATACATATTAAATTATATATTCTATATTTTACAAAATCCGAAATGACTCGTCATCAACCGGTCTCTGATTTTATTGTGAACCTACTCTCCTTCCGATCGATTCCTCATCGTCGTTCATTGTCCCGTTCCTGTACTTCTCCTTCTCCTCCTCCAATCGGCAATCACGGGTTGTGCATCTTCCATTCTTTGTTTCATTTTCTGATTATTATTATTGTTCAGTTCATTATCAGTTTATTGTTCCTATTTGTTTATTCGTTTTATTGCGTGACTATATAGTTATCTGTGTTCAACTCAGATCGATATTTTCTTTGTTCCTATTACTTCAGTCAAATTGTTCCGTTAAAAAACCACTTCAAAAACAATCTAGAGTGCTGTTGTTCTCTGCAAAATATGCTTTCGTTAGCAGTTTTTGCAGTAATTTTCGATTGCAATCTCCATCTTGAAAGCGGATCATCTGTTTAGTGGATTTTTTTTCATGGCGATGTGTGTGGTTTTAGGATGAGTGACTGATGCAGGAAAACTAAATTCAGTGGTAGGGAAAAAGATATCGGGAAAAAAATTCGGTCGGTCTGTGCATTTTGTTGTTTGCGTATTTGTTGGTATAATTGTTTTTGAAGGTATTTGCGTAACGTTACTTCGCGCGCGTCGTGTGTTGTTGTTGTTGGATTTTCTTAGAATTGCTGGAATTTATGCGATATATATATATATGTGTATATTGCAGTGTTTTTGCCATTGTTTGAAAAACCTTGTATTATTACATTTATTATTTCGTTGTAATTTAAATTATTGTAAGCATTATTGTACAATTGAATATAATTATGTATCATTTGATTATTGAAGTGTTTACGTGTTATGTTGTTTGTGCATTGTTATAGTTCGTAACGTTACGCAAAGTGTATTGTAATTGTTTCATTTGATTGTTCCGTTACGGCCACTATTAAGAGGACGCCTTCCGCGTGTTTCACAATCGATTCGTCTTTCCACACTTTTTGTGTCATTGGTAAATGTTTTTGTATATTTACCGATTCATTCGCAAATTTTTCTTCCCCACATTCACCTTATTGACGTTATTTTCGTGAGCAGTCATCGTTCTGAATCGTTTGGTACTGTTGTTAAAACTTATGGTGAAATTTCATAGAATTTATTTACTTCCACCCCTCTCTCGCTTTTCAATTTTTCCGTTTTTCAAACTGAGTCTTTCCACAGATTGGGTGGTGGATCAAGTAAGTATTCATTCAGTCAAAAAAATTTCAATTACTATTTGGTGTATGTTAATTATCCGTTTTTGCACAAGTTATTGTTTGAACACGGGCGCGTCGTTTGTGATTGTTATTTAATTAATGTTTAATTTGAAGTTTGTTTCGCGTTTTGACAAAAAAAAGAATCAATTTATCGTTTTCCTGTTGCACACTTACAAGAGGCAATAATTGTCTACTTGATGATTCTCGTCGTGTAAATAGCTGTGAAAATTCTCAGATTTGGATGTGTCGCATCAATTTTGGAACGGAACGTTAAGCATTGCGAATGCGCCCTTTAAGGGTCGGAATGTGTTCTGAAAATGAGACCAATTCATAAAATGTAATGTGGAAAACTCAAAGTGTTAAGTGCCTCAAGAATAGTGAATAGTGGAGTTAATGAATCTGCCTCAGAACATTTGATATTTCAAGTTCGATAAGAGGTATTGAAAAGCTTGCTCTAGAGGTG